TGTTGTCACCCTAGGCTGCCCTTCTGATTTAGACTACAAACATGTCCACTTCTCCTAATTACACAGAGCAAAGGTGTCCTGTAGTTCATAGAAAATACCTAGGAAGGCTGACCAGATTGTTTGATATCTCAGTTCTGTGCACAGGAAGTTACAATGACGCTGAATCTCTATCAATATCATCAGGTGTTTTTCTGTACTTGCAGAAAATGTTCTTACCCTGAAAAAAAAAAGAAAAGGAATGCAGCCACCACATCTGAGGACTGGAAGGCTGAAATATATGACATTTTGTTTTTGGGCTCAGATAGGCTTTAATTGTTGTGTTTTACATCTTCCTTTAAAATCCTCAGCCAGAATTTGTCTGCTAATGGCGCTCACCCACCACATTGAGCTGACCTCATACATGTCCTAACACGCACAGTTTGCAGATAATATATCAGATGACAAGGTCAGTAACCCCAGCAATCGGGGCCCTGAAGGTGGAGTGGCGCAGGTTGCTGAGCAATAGTACTGAAGGGCCACAAGGTCAGGTTACCCTGCCCTCACATAACCCCAGTGTAAAAACGATTGACCACTGGCACAGTGACCGCGCTCTGTAGATGTGCTAAGCGGACAGGTGATCCAAGCTTTGCTGGATGTCATTTTAAAAGCAATTTGCCTTCTGGGCTGGATGGACAAAAACAGATGATAGTGAGACCCAAAAAAACACAATACCTGTGACGTGTGCTATCAGTATTTTGTATGGTGGGTATAGAGATATATTGTCTGCTCTGTTCCATTCACGGGAATACATTTTTGTGGGGGTATGAAAAATATTAAAGTGTATTAAAGCCAGCTTACCTTCCATTGGTGTTCAGTGGAGAAATGCCACCTTAGATTGTTGGTCAATGGAGAAATGTCCCCTTACATTAGTGACTGTGGAGATTCCCTCATTATATTGGTGGTCACTGCAGGAATGCCCCAAACATTGTTGATCATTGGAAAAATGCCCCCTTACATTGGTGGTCAGTGGAGAAACTGGACTTTACATTGGTGATCAGTGGAAAAATGCCCCCTTACATAGGTGATCTGTGAAAAAATGCCCCCTTACAGTGGTGATCTGTGAAAAAATGCCCCCTTACATTGGTGATCTGTGAAAAAATGCCCCCTTACATTGGTGGTCAGTGGAGAAATTGGACTTTACATTGGTGATCAGTGGGGAAATGCCCATTTAACATTGGTGGTCAGTGGATAAATGTTCCCTCACATTGGTGCCAAGTGGAGAAATACCCCCTACACTCGTGGCCAATGATGAAATGCCCCCTTACATTGATGATTGGTGGAGAAATGCCCCCTAACGTTAGTGCCCAGTAGAGAAATGCCCCCTAACATTCGTGACTGTGGAGATTCCCCCCTTACATTGGTGGTCACTGCACTCGGTGATCAGTGGAGAAATGTTACATTGGTGACCAGTGAAGCAATGCCCCCTAAAATTAGTGCCCAGTAGAGAAATGCCCCTAACATTGGTGCTCAGTGGAGACATACTCCTTTACACTGGCGACCAATGATGAAATGCCCACTTACATTGGTGGTCAGTGGAGAAATAACTCCTTACATTGGTGACCAGTGTAGAAATACCCCCTTACAGTGGTTGTAAGTGGAGAACTGCCCCTTACATTGGTGTTCACTGCACTCGGTGATCAGTGGAGAAATGTTACATTGGTGACCAGTGAAGCAATGCCCCCTAAAATTAGTGCCCAGTAGAGAAATGCCCCTAACATTGGTGCTCAGTGGAGACATACTCCTTTACACTGGCGACCAATGATGAAATGCCCACTTACATTGGTGGTCAGTGGAGAAATAACTCCTTACATTGGTGACCAGTGTAGAAATACCCCCTTACAGTGGTTGTAAGTGGAGAACTGCCCCTTACATTGGTGGTCAGTTGGAGAAATCCCCCCTTATATTGGTGGTCAGTGGAGATATGTCCCCTTACATTGGTAGAATGCTCCATTTCATTGATGATCAGCGGAGAATATGATTTTACATTGTGTTCAGTGGAGAAATTCCTCCTTACATTGGTGATCACTGAAAAATGCCCTCTTACATGATGGTGGTGATCCGTGGAAAAAAGACCCCTTCCCCTGGTTATCAGTGAAGAATTGACCCCTTACAATCAATGTCATTGGGAAATTGCCCCATTGCATTGGTAGTCATTGTAGGTGAGAGATCAATTTGTCATTGCTTACAGCTCATGGAACCCCCAGCAATAGAGGAAACCAATGGTTCCCTTATTGAGATTTTGGCTTTCCTACTGATTTCTGTTCTGGAAGCCACGGCCAACAGAACCATTCCAACCGGATACACTGTGGATGAGCTGTAATATATTGTGTCTCTGTATCAAACAGCCTATTAATGATATTATTGATGTTGCCATGTCCAAAACTGATAAACAGCACTTCTAAGTCAGGCATGAGCGACTACATTGTTTCAGGAACCCCTGCAGCTGTGCTACACCCAGAAAGTCTACTAAGTTTAGTTCTATATAATCCATTGCTACCAGATTAGGCGGCCCCTTCACAGAGGGTGGGGCGTAGAACCAGGGAACACACTAGATGCCATTTCACAGCTTTTAATTCAGAAGAGGATGCTGGTAGGTATAGGTACCTTGACTTCAAGGGCATCTAAGTGCACATGATGGATGACAGAGTGACAACTAGAACCACTTGGAATGTATCTCTAGAATTCAAAATCCAGAGGTTTGGCCAAGTTATCCAATCACTAAATGCAGCAAATGGCAGCAATCAATTCAATCAATTCATCACTAGCCAGGCAGGAGCACACTGGAAGGGGTCATTAAGGTGCGCAAGACAAGATTCCCCACTTCTTGCCCCTACAAGGTGTTAAAGAGGACCTGTTAAACCTGTTTTTAGTATATGATAAGCAAATGTCACTTGTGTATATTGTAAATACAACTGCATTCCGCTTGAGGCTCCCGTCTGTCTGGTGGGTCAAAATGATTGCATTACAGCACCATCACTGAGGTAGATAGATAGATAGATAGATAGATAGATAGATAGATAGATAGATAGATAGATAGATAGATAGATAGATAGATAGATAGATAGATAGATAGATTTGTATTACTACATACAATATGCCGTCCCAGTGATTGATAAGCTGATTAGATCTGGGTACGTAGATCAGAGTTGGACAGGGTAACACTGAAGCGAAGCCGTTGGTGGCTTCCATATATCTAATAATAGGGATGAGCTTAGGGTTCGGGTTGACCATGAGTTCAACCCAAACACATACTGACCGCAGTTGAGTAAGGCGAACTGGCCAAGTTGCCCATCTGCCAAACCTCCATCTGTTTCCTTGCGACCAATGACACCGTATGGCCAGCACAGCATCATTGATCCCAAGCACACAGGTGGCCCTGGGTGTGGATCAGAGTTGGGCAGGGTAACACTGAAGGGAAGCCTTTGGTGGCTTCCATATATTTGGCAATAGAAATTAGCTTTGGGTTCAGGTCGACCATAAGTTCATCTCAAACCCAAGCTGACCGCAGTTGAGCAGGCCTCTATCTGTTTCCTTACAACCAACAACACTGTATGGCCTGCAAATCGTCATTGATCCCAAGCACACAGGTGGCCCTGGGTTTGGATCAGAGTTGGGCAACTCTGATCCAGAGAAGCAAAGCCTTTGGTGGCTTCCATATATCTGGCAATAGAAATGAGCTTTGGGTTCAGGTCGACCATAAGTTCATCCCAAACCCAAGCTGACCGCAGTTGAGCAGCCCTCTATCTGTTTCCTTGAAACCAGCGACACTGTATGGCCTGCACATCGTCATTGGTTCCAAGCACACAGGTGGTCCTGGGTTTGGGTCGCTTGGACCTTCGCTGAACTCGGACTTCTGGCAGGGTTTGGTGAACATCCACACGAACCAAACCCAAGTATGTTCGAGCCATTACTATGTGAATGGGTGATGCAGGAGAGGAACGGGGACACTCAAAGTTGGGCGGGAACGCCCAGACAGGAACACAGCGGCTGCCTTGGCCCACCAGACTCCACCTATCACCGAATTATCACAGAACCATAGACTGACCTTCAGCATGGAAAACCTTTCACCTATAAGAACAGTGGACAATATCTGGTTAAACTACCCTGCTATGACAGCACAGGTATTCTAGCAATGCTCGCATGCTGAGCTCGCCCCCGTTTCCTTTTCTTTAGAAGCCGGGCTGACAGCTATCGCCCTTTTCCGGCCGCATTCCGCAGGACTGACATAGCCCAGCAAACAAACCCGTACAGGAGGAATCAATTATAGCAGAGACTTGTATCTAGAGTAAATATAGATTGTGCACACACCTAGTATATTTAAATAATCATATCTCGCAACTAAGCGGAGCTTCTAAATAAAGGTGCCATTAATTGCTCCGTTAATTTCCCCGATTCCTGGGCCCCACCCCCATCCCCAGTCTAATGACATTCAATTTGCATAATTATTCAGCTGTCTGTCATTCCAGAGTTTCTTTTAATTTCCAATACAGCAAATGTTTCCGGTTTCCGCCCGTCTTAGTTTCATCAATGCTGAAGGGGTTAGAGAAGGACAGTCCTGATGAGCTTAAAATAATAACGACAGATCTAAACCCGAACCAGGGCCTGTTCACAGTGTCGCATTTTATTTGCACTACAATGCAAAGGCGCATTCAAACTAGTTACCATTATGGACTATTAAGACCAGGGGTGAGCAACCCGGGCACTCTGGCTGTGGTGAAACTACAAGTCCCATGAGGCATTGCAAAGGCTGACAGTCATAACTGTGGCACCCAGAGGCAGCGGCATTATGGAATTTGTAGTTTCACCACAGCTGGTTCCCCCTGTATATTAAGCTATTCAAAATTAACCTTTTCATATTGATTTCAGGTATGTAAATTTTGCATGGCTTCCGGCCAAAATGTCGCCCCCCCTGACACCTTATATAGCAACCGAGAGGACCGCTGCGCCAAGTCAGGCCTTACCTTGGCGGTGCTTCGGGCTTCCAGTATCTGCAGAAAATCTTCTGCCCATCTTGGTTGACATAATGCTGCGGTCCCTTCTCTGGGGCGCCCGGAGGACTCGCATCGGGGGCGCCGTCTTCAGGCATGGTGACAGGGTGCTGCCTAAAATCAAAAGAGGGGAACAAAGGTGAGACGTCGGGCAAGTCACATGACCTTGTGATGAAGGGGAGGCCTGCTGTTGCCTATAGCAACCAGATTATCCCTTCAGAGACAGACATGGAAGGATGTGTTTGATTGGCTGCTATGGTTACAGGATGGGGCCTACTCTCAACCACAAAGTAGGCCCAAAGCTTGTTGCCGTTTCAGGGCTCGTTCACACCGGGTGTGACACAGGCTTTATGGGACCTCATCTGCGCCAAACTAATGCGTTGAGGAACAATGACGTGTCAAGGCCTTGTGCCTGTCAACATGCATGAAAAAAAGATTTTGGTATTTTGACCCATGGTGTGTACTTAAAAAAAAAACACATTTAAAACGCAGTTCAGCACAGAGCAGCGTCAATGCGATTTAAAGCACGTCAACTGCAATGCGTTTTCTGTGTGCTATGGCGTGAACAAGCCTTGAAGGGAAACACAATAAAACATATTGGGGGGAATTCATTAAAACGGCCCATAGCAACCAATCAGCTTCTCTCTTCAGTTTATTTAGGTAAGCTTAGAAAATGCAAGAGGGAAGCTGACTGGTTGTCACGGGCGACTGCTCCAGATTCTGTCTGCTCCAATTTTCATGAATTCCCCCCCATAGAGTATACAGGAACGGGTTTGTAATATAATATACATGCTCTTGTCATTGCCCTGACCCGGCTGGGTTCCAGCACTACATAGATCCGGTGTGGTGTGAGCGGCACGGGTCAACGTGCCTGGGGCAAACCAGCCCTGAATCCTGGTTAGGTCAGGGTTAAATTACGAGGAGACCGCACGGGGCAGCACAATGGTGTCACATGAGCAAGATATGTCAGTCGTGGAAGCAAAGCAAACAACAAAGAACGCAGGCACACCTACACAACCCGATTGTATATCACAGGCAGATGGCTATACAGAGGGCTGACCCAATTACCTGGCGGAGGTGGGCCGGTGACAAAAAACACCCCACCACCCCCAGGGTCTGCTTTACACCTGTCCCACGCCTGCCACCTGCCCCACGTGCCTATGGAGAAATGTCACATCTGCGCTCTGTATACAAAGAGGGAGTGTCATAATATGAAACATGTCACTTTGTATACATTCAGAGGCACGCTATGTAACTGCTGATTTGGTTGCTGGCGGCTACCGAACGTTGCTCCTCCTCGCCATTATAAACCTGTAGGTATCTAGACACACCAACAACCAAAACATCAAAAATGTAAACAAAAAAATATTGGCTGATTTGCATATTGCCCAATGGGATAGATTATATGAGATCTAATAAAGATTGTTCTAGTTTTGGTGTTTTAAGTCCTTCCAGGTCCTCACTTCACTGCTTTCAGCCGAGATGAAGGGGGAAGGTTGTCTCCCACGAAATGCGATGGATGTTTTTATGTAATCGCATTGCGAACGGTTAAAAACTTTTAGCTGTTTGGTTTGGTGTCTATTTCTGCATATTCACAACTGAAGCTGGTAACATCTGCCGGGTTGCTAGGAGTTACAGCCCTTTGTGCATTCACTATAGCTCTTTGAATTGAAAAAAATATTAAAGCGCTCTCCCGCGCACTTTCATGAGTTACCCCAGAACATACTATCGCTTACCACGCATGACGCCGAGCCCCTACCCCTACCTACCGAGTGATGAGGAGATACCTGCATGATAACGACTGATGAGGAGATACCTGCCTGAGAATGACTGATGAGGAGATACCTGCCTGAGTATGACTGATGAGGAGATACCTGCCTGAGAACGACTGATGAGGAGATACCTGCCTGAGAACGACTGATGAGGAGATACCCGCCTGAGTATGACTAAGGAGGAGATACCTGCCCGAGAAAGACTGATGAGGAGATACCTGCCTGAGAATGATGTATGAGGAGATACCTGCTTTAGAATGACTGATGAGGAGATACCTGCCTGAGAGCAACCATGCTGAGACTTGTGGTTCCCCAACACCCGGGCAAAAACTGGGTTCCGCTGAGCAGAATCGACCACCTTTGACGCACGCGTGCGTTTTTTTTTCTTTGTGTTGTTTTAATGGAAGGAAACTAACTTGAAACAAAGAAGGGATCCGAGAATGAAAACAACCAGCCAAGGGCAAGGGCAGACAAGCAAGCCAAGGGCAGACACCATGCTGAGACTTGTGGTTCCACAGCAGCCGGACAAAACTATGATTTGCATATTGCCCAATGGGATAGATTATATGAGATCTAATAAAGATTGTTCTAGTTTTGGTGTTTTAAGTCCTTCCAGGTCCTCACTTCACTGCTTTCAGCCGTGATGAAGGGGGAAGGTTGTCTCCCACGAAATGCGATGGATGTTTTTATGTAATCGCATTGCGAACGGTTAAAAACTTTTAGCTGTTTGGTTTGGTGTCTATTTCTGCATATTCACAACTGAAGCTGGTAACATCTGCCGGGTTGCTAGGAGTTACAGCCCTTTGTGCATTCACTATAGCTCTTTGAATTGAAAAAAATATTAAAGCGCTCTCCCGCGCACTTTCATGAGTTACCCCAGAACATACTATCGCTTACCACGCATGACGCCGAGCCCCTACCCCTACCTACCGAGTGATGAGGAGATACCTGCATGATAACGACTGATGAGGAGATACCTGCCTGAGAATGACTGATGAGGAGATACCTGCCTGAGTATGACTGATGAGGAGATACCTGCCTGAGTATGACTAAGGAGGAGATACCTGCCTGAGAAGGACTGATGAGGAGATACTTACCTGAGAACGACTGATGAGGAGATACCTGCATGATAACGACTGATGAGGAGATACCTGCCTGAGAACGACTGATGAGGAGATACCCGCCTGAGTATGACTAAGGAGGAGATACCTGCCCGAGAAAGACTGATGAGGAGATACCTGCCTGAGAATGATGTATGAGGAGATACCTGCTTTAGAATGACTGATGAGGAGATACCTGCCTGAGAGCAACTGATGAGGAGATACCTGCCTGAGAATGACTGATGAGGAGATACCTGCCTGAGAATGACTGATGAGGAGATACCTGCCTGAGAATGACTGATGAGGAGATACCTGCCTGAGAATGACTGATGAGGAGATACCTGCCTGAGAACGACTGATGGGGAGATACCTGCCTGAGAATGACTGATGAGGAGATACCTACCTGAGAATGACTGATGAGGAGATACCTGCCTGAGAATGATGGATGAGGAGATACCTGCCTGAGAACGACTGATGGGGATATATCTGCCTGAGAATGACTGATGAGGAGATACCTACCTGAGAATGACTGATGAGGAGATACCTGCCTGAGAATGATGGATGAGGAGATACCTGCCTGAGAACGACTGATGGGGATATATCTGCCTCAGTTTCAGCCCCAGAACTCCTCATCACTCTGATATTCCGATCCTTCTTCTCCTCCATAGAAGAATCGGGATCTGTCAGCTGGAAGAATTTCGGACAACTTGGAAGCTCTCCCTGTGCGACAACAAAGACCTCCGACCATCTCAGGCGCTCACTATCGCCCTCTAGCGCACAACGGCAAGCTATGTATGGGGACACCTGTCCTGTCTAGGAGAGGAATTCCCCCTCACTTCGGGAGATTTCCTCTCACTTCCTGTTGAGTCTCTGGGACAGAAATTTCCCCAATGGTACACAGACAGCCAAAAATAACCCAGCAGGGGTTTTAACCCTTCACTACTCTACCCAACTCTGTAAAAAAAAAACGTTTTGGCGGGACATACACTTTAAGAGCGATCTTTACTGAAACATAAATCAAATGGGGGCGATCCGAAGATGCAAGTGCTCTGTGAGATCCGTTGGGGCAGGACTACAAGTTCCAGCATGACCGGGCACGCTGGCTCTTATAGTTCCACAACTGAAGGATCAACATTGGGCTCACGGTGAGATTTGTGGTGCTAGCATACCAGCAAGACAAAGGCAGAGGCCATGCTGAGACTTGTGGTTCCCCAACACCCGGGCAAAAACTGGGTTCCGCTGAGCAGAATCGACCACCTTTGACGCACGCGTGCGTTTTTTTTTCTTTGTGTTGTTTTAATGGAAGGAAACTAACTTGAAACAAAGAAGGGATCCGAGAATGAAAACAACCAGCCAAGGGCAAGGGCAGACAAGCAAGCCAAGGGCAGACACCATGCTGAGACTTGTGGTTCCACAGCAGCCGGACAAAACTAGGTTTTCGTTGAGCAAAATCGGCCGGATTTTGACGCACGCGTGCGTTTTTTCGCAGCTCTTTGTATCAATTTAGGTTGCTTCCACTAAAACAACCCAAAGAAGGGATCCGAGAATGAAAACGGCCAGCACATACAAGCAAGCCAAGGGCAGACACCATGCTGAGACTTCTGGTTCCGCAACACCCGGGCAAAAACTGGGTTTCCCTGAGCAAAATCAACCACCTTTGACGCACGCTTGCGTTTTTTTCTTCTTCTTTGGGTTGTTTTAATGGAAGGAAACTAACTTGATGCAAAGAAGGGATCCGAGAAAAAAAAACGACCAGCACATCCAGGCAAGCCAAGGGCAGGCACCATGCTGAGACTTGTGGTTCCACAGCAGCCGGAAAAAAATAGGTTTCGTTGAGCAAAATCCCCGGATGTGTGCGTTGTTTTGCAGTTCTTTGGGTTGTTTTGGTGGAAGGAACCTAAATTGATACAAAGTAGGGATCTGGGAATGGAAACGGCCATCACATCGAAATATATGAACCCATGAACACGCTCTGCACCCACCAAGGGGCACCTTACAGACAAGCCAAGGAACCTGGTGCCAGCTCCGGTGACCCAGTCCCATGCTCTTGTACCGTCCCAGGTCACCCTGCCCCACCAGCGACATGTGCAAATAAGAAATCGCCGCCGGCTTTCGCTGTTTCAAGAGAGAAATTGCACATACCTATCACAGCAAACACAGCTTTTCTTTCTTTTTTTTCCATAAGAGAACAAATAAAAAAAATAGCAAAGACATGTCTGGCAGCGGAGCCAAGAATTGCTTTTTACTACAGAGAGTAGGAGGCAATATTGCCTGATCGAGCCAAGGAGCGCGCAGAGGAGCGTTAAATACCTACAGGCACTCAAAATACCCCCCAAAACGCCCCCCCTCCATCTCATCCACCCAGCTGGCATGCTAGCATGCTTGCTCGCTTAATAATCAATTGTGGAAAGCAAATGTGCTT